TGCCAAATTCCATTCTTTGAGCATTTTTGAAAACAACTCTTTAAATAGGGAATGTGGAACCTAACTGCTATGTGTGTTCTTGCATATATATATATATGTGTTCATACATATGTATAAAACATATATATGAACACATATATAACATATATATGAACATATATATATGAAAAGAAAAAAAAAGAAGCTTTCTATTTTTCAATCCATTAATTCATCATCCATCAACATTCTACTGAAAAAGCTGTGCTAGTAGTAGTGTTATTTTTTGATCATTTACATATAGTCGATAAAACATGGTGTTTAATACCATAAGCTTTAGTGGAAAGTAGACCTAGGCCCTTTGTACGAGGGTCTACTTTGAGACCTTGAGCAAATTATTTCATTTCGTTCAGTTTTATCAGATAATAACCTCATTTTCCACATAGAGCAGTGTTTAGGATTAAAGTATTAATATAAAGAAGATACTTTATATTAATGTGACATTAATATAATGTGACAGGTATCTTATGCTGCTAGGCTGCCATAACAACATACCACAGACTAGGTGGCTTAACTACAAAAATTGAGTTCTGGGGGCTGGAGGTCCAAGGTCAAGGTGCTGGCAGGGTCAGGTTTATTTGAGGCCTCTCTCCTTGGCTTGCAGTTGGCCTCTCTCTTGCTGCGTTTTCTTAGGGTTATCCTCTGTGTGCATTTATTCTTGGTGCGTGTGTCTTTCTTGGTGTCCTGATATCCTCTACTTATAAAGACAGCAGTCATGGATTAGAAACCACTCTACGAGCCTTGTTTTGACTTAGTTCAAAGGCTCTGTCTCCAAAACCAGTCACATTCTGAGTTACTTAGGGCTTCAACATATGAATTTGGGAGGAACACGATGCAGACCTTAATAATAGCGGGTCCAAAGTATTAGTTGTTATTCAAAAGTATTTATTGCTTATATAAGAATTCTCTACTGGTGTCTGGTGTTAAAATAAGAGAACTTGGCTCAGGCTGGTATATTCAGGACAGGTCGCATGGGAACATTAGGGTTTTAACTGCGTGGTGAGGATGATCGTGCGAGTTTAGGGAAAAGGTCAGGAGTTATAAATGTCTAAAATTTGGAGTTTGGCATGAATGTGGTATGGTTGGAAAAAATGTGAGAAAGCTGATTTGGCAGGAAAAGAGCTTCACATTTGTAAGCCATAAGAGGTTAAGTGCCTATGAGATAAGGGGAGACCAGATTTTAGAGTCTCTTGAAAGCCAGGTTGGCCTTTTTAGCTTACACTAAAGACTATTGAACTGGAAAGTGATGTGAAAAAATTTTTAGGAGGGCATTAAACATTTTTTACTGTACAGATTTCTGTATATTTTTAATATGAAAAGCGAGCACATACCCACCCATTACTCATGTAATTAAAATAACTACATTTTTAAAGAATTTGAAAGGATCTTGTTAGCAATCCATGATACCGGTTAGACAGTTAGCAGTCTCAAAAAACACGTGGCATACCCCAAAATAGTGTGTTTGAGTGCTTGCCCCTTTTCCCTCTCTGTGTGAACACCCTTTCCAGACCAGTCAGGCTGGCCTCCTGAGTCAACCCTGAGAGTCAGTAAGCATTTTACAGAAACTCTTGAAAGTTGAATGTTGCTTTGGAGTATTAAAATATTTCTTACTTCTCACATTTCTTTTAAATATTTTTACCATTATTACTGTCTGAGCCACATTGGCTATCTTTATAAGGACAGCATTCTTTCTTGAAATGTAATATAAAATTTCATTACAAAATATGTACTTGAATTCCATTTCATAAAGTTAATTTACTTCACAGAACTTTGGAAATGCTTTGGCTAGTGAAGTTTTTGATCTTTGATTAAAATGTCAGGTAATAAAAATATTATGTGAGTTGAGATATATCTGAAATAAAATCTAGAGTAAAGAGTATAACTTTAGTTACAACTTGGAAAGTTTTGTTCATTATTTATTATTTTTTAAATCCCTTTAGAAGCAAAAAATAAAAAGGTCAATGTGAGAGATAATTTAAAAATTAGTTTTCAAAGATTTAAAGGTTAATTGAATTGTCTACATGTTTTCATTATCAAAGTAAAAGCTAAGTAGCTCTTGAATTATTGTTTAAATTGAGAGTTTGTGTTAACACATATTAAATTATTGCATAATTCTAAGGACCAATCCCCTCTTAACTTGTTAGAAATGTCTGGTTTGCAGTGCTTAAATTTTATCTCTTTTTGCTGATATGAAAGGCGGAAACTTAGGGAATCTTTTTGCTTTATGATTGCAATTTCATAAATTATCTTTAAAGGAAAGTCAAATTATATCTTAATAAAAGGAAATATTGTATCTATGTTACCTGTTCTAAGTGAAATATCTCTTCGTTATGACTGTAGTATTATGATTCTTGCTTACTTTAAACTTAATTTCACATCACAAATCTCAGGTATGCTAGAGATCTTTATCTTTGAACATTATTTTTCTTACACTTTATGTCCATGAATCATTTTCAGGGACAACCAGAGCAAGTGGGTCAGTTTCTTATATATCCACGTGTTTTTGAAATAGGTGATAGTGATGTTAGAACATAATAAGAGTAAACTATTTGGCATTCTGAGGCAAATTAGGTATAAGGGCCTGCTTTAATTTTAAAAACAAAAGCTCTACTGTTTCTAGCCAGAAAACTAAATATCTTGGAGTTAAACATGGAAAATGTTTATAGTGTTGTATAGTTTTATTACTTCAGACAGAAGGAAAACAGTTTATTGAGTAAGTTTCAGCCAATAAGAAATTTTATACAGGCCAACAAACAAGGATGAACAAAAAATATTTTCTGGTTTAGGGAGAATGAATGATAAAGACTCAAAATACTTAGCCATTCACTTTGAAACAAGTGCGATCTTTTTTTGGCGTTTATACGACAGTAGACAGCTAGTCAAATAGAAAGGTTTTGTGAATTAAAGAATTGTCCTTAAAGTAAAGGGGCCTGCCCTTTTTTACCCCTTTTTCTTTTTTGCTTGCTCGAATGCTAATCTCACAGCTGGAACCCAAGCAGCTATCTTGAATCAAGAGGTAGCAGTCACCTTTTGAGGATGGTGAAAATTGGTATAGAAGGAGCCTGGGTCTTTTAGAATTGTGGAGTTGTCATACAAAACCTGTTACCTAGGGATTTTGTTTTTGAGAAGGAAATAAACTTCTGTCTTATTTGAACCACTGTTATTTTTTGTTTTCTTTCACTCGTGGCTAAACATATTCATGACTGATACATCCTCCCAGCTATATTTAGTCCTAGAATCAGTAAACTATGGTCTGCAGGCCACATCCAGCCCCCTGCCTGTTATGTACATAAAGTTTTTTTGGAATACAGTCCCACCCTTTTGCTTCTGTATTATCTATGGCAGGCAGTGGCTGCTCTTTTGCTACAGTTTCAGAATTGAGTAGCTGCTTCAAGACTACGTGGTCACAAAGCCAAAAACTTTTATGTTCTGACCCTTTATAGACAAAATCGACCAATCACGGATCTAGTCTATTGATTAACCTCATGTTTTTCTTTGGAAATGTCTCTTTTATCTTTCTTTTTTCTGTATTCATATGGGTCCCTTACCAGGCCAAACATTTTCACCTCATATCTGAACTACTTTGGATGTCTTGTTGTAAATTTCCTTAAATCATTTCTACTTTTATCATTTATTCTTTTTATCATATATACTATAACATGGTAAGCTTTCTTAAACATAGTTCACATTACATCATTCCTCTGATCAAAAATGTTCAGTGACTTCCTATTTTCTATAGCATCAAGTCATAATATTTTTGCTTGTCTTTTATGATTCTTTATATTCTTGAACTACTCTAGCATGCCAACATCATTTCCTATTCATTTATTAATTAATTCATTTAACATACTTTTTAAATGCCAAAACGTGCTAGGAAGCCTAAGAAATACACAGTTCTAGTTATCTTTTGCTGTAAAATAGTAGTAGCTTCTGACTGGTCTTTGCCACTAGTCATTTCCAATTCTGGTCTGTCTCCCACACTGCTTTCTGGGTGAGTCGTCTGGACTGCAGTTCTGATTGTGTCATACTCCTGATTACATCTTCAGTAACCACACATCACTTGTATGGCAGGCTATGCAGGTGAAATTTCAATAGCATAATATACAAGGCCTTGTTTAATATGGCCCTTGCATATTTTTGCAACTCTATTTTTTTTCTTGAGATAACCAACTTTTACTCTGTCCTTGAGGACGGCTTGGTATTTTTTGAAATTTTACCCAATTTCTGTTCCTTCTGCATATTCAGTAACTCTGAGGTATCCTTCTTTACCCCCATTTCCTACGAGAATGTGTTCTTATTAACCCTTCCTAGATGAAGCACTAATGTCACCTTCATTGTCAGGTGTCCTTCCCCCTCTGGCTGAATTTATCACTGCTTAGTCTGTGTTACTATAGAGCCTTGTGCATACTTATTATAGAGCACTTATATTTGTCATAGTTGTTGGTTCACAAAGTCACTTGACCTCTACTGAGTCAGTGACTACTTAACTTAAATTGTATCTTGCAACTTTCCCTCATGCCAGATATAGTTGTGTATTTGTATTTGTGGTATTATTTGATTAAATCCTTCTGGTTTACCACCACTTGACCCCAGGCCAGACCTGCCGCAGCTTTTTGTTCACCATTAAATTTCCCAGTGTATAGCTAAGTACCTGGCACACAACATACACTCAATACTTGATTGTTGAATGAGCAAATTAATTAGTTGAGGGCAAAGGCTTTATTTTTCCTGTAATTATGTGTCTCTGTGTCATGTAGCACAGAACTCAACAATGTTAATCACTAATGAAACCGTGAAGATTGCTTTTTTAACACAAAGACACTCTTCTTCTTCAAAAAAAATCTTATCAGAAGTCCAATATATAGAAAGGTTAAAAGCAGAACGGTGATGTTTGAATGCCCCTCCTCTGGCTCCCCACTGGGCTCCTGAGCTAACTTCACAGAATCCCTTGCCTCACCTCACAGGTAGATAATGGATGGAAACCACTGTTAGCAGAAGTTGCATTGGCTGTAAAAACAGGTAAGCAGTGTTTTTCATGGAGCTTGGCTGTAGCTGTGTGACTAGGCAGATCATTTAACCACTGTTTTTTTTACCTTTTAAATGAGAGTTTCATCCTGATGTTCCTGCTATTTCTTTCCAGCTATGTAATTATATTTAACAGTTTCAGGTTTATCCTAGCCTTTGGTTCTCATTTAGATATAATCTCTTATTAGAGTACCCTTGCTTCTGCCTTACGCTAATGCTAAATTTCTCAAAAACCATGCCCACTTCCAACTCATCTAAGAAGTCTTCTCCAGCTACTCCTTTGATTGTTGCATTGATCACACTTATTGTCCATAGCATATAAACTAGAACCTAAGATACAGAATTTTCCCAGTACAGAGTCCACAAGTATGTTTTAGCAAGTACATTGGCCAGATACCCATTTTGCTTACCTTAAACAACCCAATATTATTTCAGAATATTAAGGTGCATTCTTTCCGTATGTATGTTACTTACCTTCTGAAGTTATTATATACATTTTAGAAGCACATTGTTTAGTGTTTTTTATTGATCAATCACCTTGATTAGCTTTATCTGCTTAATTACCTCATATTTCTGTGTACCTCCTATCATTTACTATTGTTGATTAATCATTTGAAAATTAAATACCTGTTTAATTGCGCAAAGAAATAGAAGAAAATGTGCCTTGGATGTTTTTTGGTGAGACTACAATTCAAATGAGATAGTATTTGCTTTTATGTGGGGGACAATCCATTAAACCCTTCTCTGTCCATTTTTTTTATTAGATAAAAGAGAAGAGCTGAAGAGAGACCTGCTTTTGCAGTCAGATTGGATTTGAATCAGAGCTCTGTGTGCCTTTAGTCAAATTAAAACCTCTCTGACTTTAGATTCTTTATTTTTAAAAGAAGTAGCGCCCCTTTTCTCAGGCCTGCTGTGAGGATTAGTTGAGCTAGGACTAAAAGCTTGTCACGTAGTAGGCATTCCACTAAGGTTAACTGTTTGTGGTATTTCTTATCATGGAAAAATCTGAGGTGAGCTCTATGACCACCCTCCCCATCCCCACCACCCCGTCAAAAAAAAAAAAAAATCTAGGTATTTGAGAGTGTTCTGAAAATCCATTTATTTTCTGGCCTGGATTATGTAAGATATTTCAAACTGAAGTTATAAGCTTTTTTTTCTTTTCCTCCTTCAGGCTTATTTTCTCCAAGTTTAAAAACACTAAAAGAGATTGGAGAAAATATGGGGAATTAGTAATTTTGATTAAAGTGTTTCAAATTTTGTGGGACTGGGTTTTTTCTTCTGAATTTACTTGGTGGTACACTGAAGAAGTAGTCTTCCTGGTGAATATATTTCAAAGAAAATATACTGTGATTTAGACTGAAAGAGTAAATTGTGTGTGTGTGTGTGTGTGTGTGTGTGTGTGTGTGTGTGTGTGTGTTCTCACATTTACATTTATGCACAGGAGTATTGATATGATAAACACATCTTTAGGCACTCAACAACTCTTAACAGTATGTAAAGTAACAACCCTGTGATCCAACAATGGAACATTTGTGGAATTGGAAAGGACAAAGAAACATTGGAAAGCAAGTTCATTGGCACATAGGGAAAGCATTAGCCAGCAAAGCACTTAGGATGGACAAGCGACCACACAGTTGTAGAAAAAGAATTTTTGAATCTCTTAACACAAAGTGTTGGCTTTGGACTCCCTTAGTTTAAATATTGACTTTTGAAATGAGATGAAAGTTGATATATGCCATGTTGCAATATCTTTCTCACCACATGTTAAGTGTCAGTAATGCAATCTTGTTGGATAACTAGTCCTGTGTTGTTTCTGATTTACAACCCTGGTAATTTTTCTTGTTCTGGGAATACATTGCACAATAATGCATGATGAGGCTAAAATTAGCTTTAAACCTACCTAAGTAAAAGCGAGAATTCTACTCATATAACCAACTTATAAATATTTAGATTTTAAATGATGTTTAAATCTATAGATTTAAATACCTTTCTCAGGGAAATTATCAAAAGAATAAAAATATAAGCATAGAAACAAAAATAGCACCAGGAATAATTACAGTAGAAGAAAATAGAACACTTAAGTACCCATGAACAAATGTAGTGTAAAATTTTTGCTATAAGAAAAATAGACATATATGTCTGCTTATTTAAAGGGTAAAGAATATACCGTAAAGAAAAAATGCAAACTTTTGAATTGGTCCCAATGTTTTTTTAAATGAGTAATCCATTATACAGTGGATATTCTTTAAGTCATGAACTCTTTATATTGAGCTATATTGAAAATCTCCGAGTAACTGGGTAATTTCAAAACCTTCCCTTGGCTGCATATACATGACATAAATGTTCTCAAAGTGTTTATGATTTAATTGTCATGCCTGAGAAATTTTTGCATTTTATTAGCTTTAAAGTACACATAGGAGCTGAAAACCAAAAGTTTGATGACTAAATTCAGATTATATGCAGTCATTGAAAAGTATTTTATACAGTAGGTTTATACTGGAAAATTTTAATGAACACAACCAGCTGTATCCTAAGAGATGGTGTGGGGAAGTTAAGGAGCAGATCTGAAAGTTCCATGAAGAGAATGAGGGCTCTTGAAGAACCGTTAGTCTGTAGTGAAACATTTTATCTTGGAAGGTGAAAAGAGGAGGCAGAAAAACCAAGTGGATCAGATATTTTTTATATATTACAGACATGCAGCAAGGAGATAGAAATCCATGACAAAAGATCTCAAAGTTGTGTTATATTCAAGCTCTATAAGTTTACAGAAAACTAAAACCATAGAATTAAGGGATAGTTTTATATTTTTGACCAAGACCAAGCCTTCTTAGACCTTTTCTGTACTCTTTAATTCTGTTAAGTAGGCTTTTAACATCTTTCTTGGTTGTAATGATTAATGATCTTTGAATTGAAAAGGCTGCCTGGAACTAGAGCCATTCAGATTGTAAGGGCTCTTATAAATGCAATTTACTGTTAGAGATTATGTATATCAACCACATTTATTGTGATTTTCTAAAATCACATTTTATTTTCTTATTAACTTCTATTAAAGGACAGATAACTTTCATTTGCAAGTGTTTTTGTCCATATGAGAGAGATTGATTTTCCTTTAACTATTTAATAAAATGGTAAGACCATTCAAGATTCTGATTGTAGCACTGTAAGAGTTCAAAATAAATTATACCCAGAAATGTATTAAGAGAACGTGAGACACCATACGTAACGGAAGAATGACCATATTCTTTATTTCACTTGAAGGATATCTCCACAATAATAGTGATAATAACATTTTAGTAGTTTGATTAATTTTCCCATTAGTTGTATGTGTATAAACTATATTTGTAATTTTACATTCAAGGGGATATTGTATCTTTTCCTTTTTGTCATCTTTGGACTTTCCTGGCATCTCTAGATGTCATTACTTAATAATATGTATGTGGTTTTATTATACTTTATTTACTCAGAAAGGAAGAGGAAGCTAGAGACAAAGTAATTACAGCTTGCTAGAAACAGAGGCTCCATTCTGCCCAACATCTTTGTACCTTACTCCTCATGACAAGATCTCACTGAGCCTCTACTGGGAGGAACATTATAAGGCTAAGCTCTGGCATATGGTGAGTAATTAAAAAAAAGGGGGTGTAAGTTTTAGAAAGTTATTTTTTTATGAGCTGCTCTTTAAAGCGCAAAAAATGAAAATGCTGTATTGAGTTCTGGGCAAAATATGTTTATCTAAAAATTAGATATCCTACTTTTATCAGATAGGAGAATGTCAGTGAGATTTGCATTGCCTTTTTAGCCACTGAAATGTGAGCATGGGGGAATATTTGAGAAGCGGCAGCCTCAAAGTCACTTTATACTCCCTCAATTAGTTTTAGCTTTGATCCTGATGCTGAAACTTGAAGGCAGCTCAATGGCGTTGGGCAGGTGGCCGGAATACAGCCTCTGGGCCTCTGATTTTTGCGACAGCTCTAGGACCCATCCTGTGCTGGTTCGATGAGAATTTAAAATCTTTCTTGATAAATGTGTTTTACTTTTGGCACCATTATGTTCTTGGTCCCCTGTTCTGTGTTCCCAGATAATTAGGTCTTTGCTCTGTTTCTTGGTATCTACCTTCACTTTCTACCCCAGTTTTTGTTGCCAGATTTCCCCGATGTCCTATATGTTTTCCCCAACTTCACCTTTCACATGCTATGTCGATTTTCCAGCAGTTTTCCTGGGCAATCATAGCTCATCTGTACATTCCAGGTCTCCCTTATTGGCTGCAGTCCCTGTGACAACATTCTGACATTGAGACATGCTTGTTTAGAAGGCTGAGATAGCCAAGCTAGTAGACTAGGCTGTTCATTTTGTTCAAAAGCTGAAGGCCTTGATTTAAACATTGGTTAATATTTTCAGAAAACTCATAGCCCATCATGAAGCCTAGTTTATCTTGACAAAATCCTGATTATTTTTAAAACATCCTATGTGCATTTTAGGATTTGGAGCCTGTCATTGCTGGAATAACAGAATCAGTGGAGCAGAAAACTTCTTTTTCTGCTTTAGTTTTCTCCTTAGCATTTATTACTAACATATAACATATTTCACTTTTAAAATTTATTGTTTGTCTTTCCCACAAGAATGTAAGCTCTATTTGGGCAGAAAATTTTGTCTGCTTTGTTCCCTTCTATATCTTTAGTTCTTATAACAGTGCCTGGCATACAGTATATGTTCAATAAATATTTGTAGATTGAAATTCTGACTTTGTCAAATAATCATGTCTTTAAGTTTAGAAGTCTGCTTAGGAGTTAATAATGATCATTGTGTTCTGATTGCTTTGTGGTTCCTTATATACAAAAAGAGTGTGGTACTTTCATGAGTTTTTAAATTTACTATACTTTTTAATGTTTCAATATTTACTACACTTAAGATTTATAATTATAGATTAACTTTTTATTTACTTGCAGGCTAGGATTGTGTTTTTGTTATACATTATTTTTTTTATAGCTCTTTAATTATTTTTTTTTACTTTGTAAGTTCAACCATGCCTTATTAGTTGATCCTAAGACACACTGTCTTAACACATTTTACAATTGCTGAATTTAGGCTATATTTTAATGTCATCATATGACAATCATAGCATTTTTTTCCCCCCAGTGCTACATAAAATGGTGATTGGCTCCTCATATAAATAATGATACTTTATATTTGATGAAATACTTTTGTTACATTTTAAAGTTTTGGATAGTTTTTAAGAATCATTAAAGTTTAATATCTAGAATAATTTCTTCCCATGTGAATGATAAAGCTACTGAGAAACTGTCACAAAAATACTTGATAGTCTTCTTTCATTTATTTCATATACCTTAATTACTCTAACGAAATGATATTTTGGAGGAGGGTTTGCAATTACTAAATTGAACTAGAGGGAGTGCTTGATCACCCAAGTAGGTATTCCTTCTGACACTGCACGCAATGGAAACCTATCACTTGGCAATTTGACAAATGAAACCAGCTCAACTGCAGAGATCCAGAGTTTTAGAACTCAAGAAAGCAGGTCACTGAACATGTTTGTTTTCTAAAGGCTTCTGGATTAAGGGGCCCTGATGCCGAGAGTGTAGACAGATTTGAACACCTACCTAGACGTTTCCTAATGTGTGACCTGCTCTATGAGGTGTAGTTTTCATCTCTGAAATAAACCAGAGGTGCCCTCTGGAGGCCTATTCAATTTCTTATGGCATATTAGAATCATATGTTAAACAAGTGTTTGTGAGAATCTAGAATATATTCCCAGGTAGGGAAGCAATGAACTTGTAAGAGCTATTGGAGACACTATCACAGAGTTGTTCGGTTTCAGAGAAACTATTTGATACCACTGATTCACTGATTGACTTTGCAGAAAGTCACCCCAACCTCTCCAGGCTTCAACCTCTCCAGAGAACTGGACAATAGAATATGATTGATAAAAATAACTGTTTTCCCTCTAGAATGGAAGTGTTTTAGAAAGGGTAAGCTTGATTGAAGTGAAAAAAAAAATTGAGCATCTATTGATTGGAATAAAGTGATCCCATTGGTGTTTGAACTCAAAACTGAAAACTAAATCATACTAAGGTAGTTTATTATTCTACTTGTTACTTTTAGGAAAAACAATTTAGCCCTCACCTCTGTCACCTGTGTCAATTAACTGCAGAATTAAAACATGATGAATAAGCATGTCTGATTCTAATTTAATTCAGAAATGTCTCAACTACAAGCAACAACTTCATATATATTTCATTTCCTGATCATGGTGAGCCTGGCACCACAAAGATTAAATTTAATTACTGTTTTTCTCTTATTACTTATTTATTGCTAGATTTATTGCTTTTTTATATTTAGTGTAACAGAATATTTCAAATTGGTTAAATCAACAAAATTCAAGTTTTGTTATGCAGTATACTTATTATGAATATACATGTATGTGTGCACCTAGTTTTATCACCTCACATTACCACAGATAACATACAAGAGCATTTTTGTAGAACCCAATTCATAGTAGCTGCTAAATATTAGTTTCATAATAATAATTGATAATCATTACTCTTCAATGATTATTTGGAATTCATTTACTGAATTCAAAATATAGTCTTTGAATTTATGACTTTTGCTTTTGAAAAATTTCTAAAAATTGAATTACTAACCAAAAAAAGTAGCATATTGACATTTTAAAGACTTTAGTAATACATCTAAATTGCTTTCTAGAACGTTTTTTATTAATTTATACTTAAATCATCAATGTGGACATGTGCTTTTTTCTTTCATACCCTTGCCAATATTGAATATTATCAAAACTTACTGATTCATTTAGCTGGAAAGTCTCATTGTTGTTTTAATTTTTATTTGTTTTGTCATCAGTGAAATTAAATTATTTACATGTTTATGGTTCTCATCTGTGAGTTATTTCTCTATGATTTTGCCTATTTTAGTATTTTTCTTGCCAATTTATATGTGTTCTGTATTATATTAAGGCTTTAAATATTTCTAAAAAGATATTCATAGCCTAGTATTTATGCTTCATTTTATTGATTAAAAAATTTAACATGCAATTTCTATAGAAGAATTATTTCAAATATCTCTTTTTCCCTATTGAATCTTTTTTTTATTTTTTATTTTTTAGCAGTCTTTCCTAGCTCTCTAGGCTTTCTTGGAGTAACTTTCAGAGCTCCCCATTTTCTGGTCATCTCTTTTCCAATGTTGTCCCTAAATCACTGATACAATCAGGTAGACCTATTCCATTTACGTTCCTACCATGACATCCTTGCTGTATCCCTTAATTTTTACATTGCACATCTTCTGTGAAGCCTGAGCAAGGCTTTAATATTTAATATTATACCACAGTTTAGTATTTGGTTATTTAATTATATACATTTTTGCTAATTAGATGAGTCTCTCCTTCTGCCTTAAAACTTGCTTCAGAATAGGATTCATGGTTTATACTTTTGTATGTCCCCAAATCTTCTAACACAGGCAGGGAACAACATACTGAGCCCTTAGTGAGCACTCGTTAATTTATAATTGCAGATAATTGTCTTCATTATCTACGCTTACTTCCCCATATTATTTCTAGTGACAGAGCAGCTAAGGTAAATGAACAATAAAGGGTTTGGAACAAAAATTTTAGAGTTTGGTACATTATGTTTTCTCAGTTGTGCTCTGATTCATACTGATCCCATATAGCATCAAAAAAAAAAAAAAAAAAAAAGAGCCAGACCACTTCATTAACTCTGAAGAGCTAGCAGACTGCACAAGGAGGAAGCTTCCAGGTTGTTATTTAAGATGTCATAAAAAGTGTTGAGGCTACTGCAGACTCTGAGGTCTCTTCAGGATGTGGGCTTTGGCAGTCGGCCAGGTGAGTGGGCATGGTATGTGTCCCTGGCCTGCATTACAAATAGGACCTAGAATATTGCTTGGTTATGAAAAAGTGCAGAACAGCTACCTCTGTCCAAGAAATATCCTCAAGGGTTCTCAGAGATTCAGGTCCTTGTTTGGAGAGTTGGGTAGTTTGGGGACTGAATTTGAGTATCTTTTAATTTGCCTTTCTTTAATACCTTGAAGTTATAATATCTAACTACTTTTTTTTTTTAATGATTTCATCTGAAGATTTAAAAAACAATGTCTTTAAAAAATGCTGTTTTTATTTATAAAATTTGATCAAAATATCAATTCCTATGTTTAGTAATTTTTTTGACATTTCTCATATGTAGCCAAAATGAGATGTAATAATTTGTGCTTTTTATTTCCAATGTCTCTAACAGTTTAATAAATAATTCCAAACCATAGTATGTTATCTCTCAAGTTTTTGTGGGTCAGGAATTTGAGTAGGGGGTTTGGCTGTTTGCTTTTAGTTCAGGGTCTCTCATGTATTTGCAGTCAGACAGTGACTGGAGTTGTGACAGTGAACAGCTGAAGCACCTGGAGGCTAATCAGGCATCTCTCTCTTTTCGTGTGATATCAGGGCCTGTCCATCTGGTTGTCCGCATGGGCTAATTTGGGCTTCCTCACAGTACGGCTGCCTCAAGGCAGTCCCTCTACTAACATGGTAGCTGAATGCTTCAAGAGGTGAGAGATATATTGCCCTTTTATGATCTATAAACTTGAT